ACATGTGTGTGGGGGTGAAATTCAGCTTGTTAGTTCTGTAGGGAGATTGGAGAACTTACTCGCTTGCGTGCATACAACGTATGCACTATTAAAAAACCACTTTCCGTATGTTATAGCTATGTCTGGGGCATCATGGAATATTTGCTGTTTGGGTATCTCAAAGATCTCTCATTATTCTTCAAGTACTTTCTGTGTGTGTGGTGGGGGGGTTGTTTTGGTTATATTGGACTGGTGGATTAACATCACTTTCAGCTATTCTAGGCGTCGAGTCGGCTCGGTACACATTCAGTCATTTCAGACTCCATCTTAACTATATATATATCCATACTATTTTTGTACACTTTGCGACTACTACAGGTCCATGCGACGAACCTTGATCAACCGCATATCGCTGCATCTGAGCGAGTACTCACCTCGGCTGAAGAGCAATGCACAGGCGCCGTATCAGCACTGTCCCATAGCGTCTATCCAGTACAGCGAGTTGCAGAGTGAGCTGTTCTGTGGGCGCTACTACCTCAGAAATCTCTGCAATATGGACAAATACAAGTAAGTGTGGTGTGGAGTAGTGCTATGTATATGCACGGCGTGTGAAATTTCATATGTGCATAGTCAGAAATAAATGATGTGTGCTGTGTGCGAGTACAAAGGCTCGCAGCATGGACAAGTACATCCATACAACGGAAACGAATGCAGAGCCAAAGTGTCATGTACACCAGTATTGAGTCGTAGTCTTTGTCATGTCATGTCTTCCTTTCTGTTGTTTAACTTCAAACGGTTCACATATGTTGGCGTAGTGGTTCTCTTTTGCGATAAAAACAAATTCTCATGTTGATATTAATCCTTGCATAGAACGCAATGCATTGAGCTATGTTTATATAATCATTTGTACCACCATACCTACATAACATTTGATACATATTCATGAAAACGCCATTGGGCATGTAAGCAATACAAGCACCACAGTAACGTATGTATGTGGGCTGTACAATTGCAACATCCTTCGAATATAGCTGTCTTGTTTGCCTCTATCGCTCCTTTCGTATCGTCTATCTCACTTCTCATTGTGAGAATATACCCCCTTTCTTTGCCTCTAACTCATTTTTGTTTCTTTCACCTTCCTTTCTTGATGTATCGTGCTTCTCAGAGATTGGCCTATAGACAACCACGTAGAGCTGCTACGTGACATCTTGCATGAGTGGCAACGAGAGGTACGTGTACACCATCACCGGCTCTGGTTGCAGCAGAGCACTACATCACTTTGAATATATTCAGCTACTGCTGCTGTAGAAGGGTGTACTTTTCATCGTCTGATCTTTCCTGTTCGCAAGTGTGTCTATTTGCTATCGCTCAACAAAAGACTTTATTCGCCGTGATGTGCAGATGCAGGGATGATGCACTGTTTGACCTCGGTACATGCATATATTTAAATGGTTGTGCAGCGATTTACTCAGACGCATGCTCTGCTGATCCAGGAAATAGAATGCTACATGCCATGTGTGTATACCAGGGATAAGCATACGCATCTTGGGTTATGATTAGCACGCTTCTCATAGCTACACGCGTTAAATGTATGGATAATTGAAAGAACCTATTCTATACATGTTTGTACAGAGCTAGAATGGTTTTGCTATTTTGGAGTTGCTATGTCCTGATCAACATATGTCCAGATCTGATAATGCCCTCAGACGGCACTCTGACTATCCATAGGATGTACTCACCATTTCACTTTTATCACTCGCAGGTCGGAAAGAAACCTCCGTCACTCTCCAAGCAGGATGCCATGGCTATACTCAATCTACCCAGGTGTGCTATTCTCAAGTTAAACATGAGACTTTCAATATTCCCGTCAATTTGAGCACTTGAAGTATTTCATCATAGCATACTCTTTTCCTGTATTGGACACCAAGCTACCCGTACATTCTTTCAGCTAGTCCATGTATGTGATTTCGACCGAGGTTTTACCCCCGTCCACCCACAGTGTTGTACTCACTCCCCACCAAGTGCATGCATCTGAACCTCTAATATCCCACCCTTACAGAGATATGCCGTACGAAGAAGGCAAAGTGCGAAAGGCGTACTTCCGCATGGCCGCCAAATACCATCCAGATAAGAACCCTGATCCCGAGGCTCGCGAAATCTTTGACAAAACTGCTGAAGCATACGAACTGCTATGTGCCGCTCACCAGGGCGATGTGGCGATGGATGGGCCAGACTACAGGCGCATTGATCTGATCATACGATCGCAGACTATCCTGTTTAGTAGGTAAGGAAGTGTACTGTCTTGTTAAGGAAGTACGTAAATAGAATAATATTGTTAGTAGAAAAGCACGTATCCTGCTCAGGATTTTTTTTCGCCACGAATACTGTAAACCTACCTGTAATTCCCCTCTCACACGCAAAATGCAACCCCACCCCACCCACACACAACACAGATACGGCGATATTCTGCAGCCATACAAGTACTCTGGGTATCCCCAACTCCTGGCTACAATGACACTTGAGAACGAGGATCCTGGGCTGTTTGCCAACCAGCACACACTCCTTCCTGCGTGTTGCGCGTTGGCGTATCATACGGTCAATACCTCTCCCCTCAACGCGGATGAGCTGAGGTAAGTGTCCAAATATATTCACCACAACAAAAATATTCACCACAATCTCACAAACTCGAACAATTTAACGGAGACGAGTGTATGAATCTGTGGTCTTCGTTTGATGTTGTAGATGGGCCGTGCGGAAGAGAGAGTAATTATATCGAAAAGTTGTCTGGTGTACTTGGCTTGGGTTCACTCCGTAGGGGGGGGAGGGAGGGGGGGTTCACGATTTGAACATGTCAGAGCACACAGACTGGGGCACAGTCAGGAGAAAGCACGTGCGAACGAATAGTTATACAAATGCCTCCATTGACAATGTTTGCATTTGGTTGAGGAGAACTCACGCACTCACTAATATGTGCTCACACTTACACTTAGCAAATGCCACCACTCGCACAAACACACATCCTCCACCTTCCCAATACACACACACGCTTAACTAGATGCTGTCCACCACGTTTTTGTGCGTTTCATATTGCTGATTACGGTACAACGTACCACGCGCTCCACTTCAGCAAACTCACACGCTCAACATGCAATCATCATCTATATGTATCCGCACCCGCTCACTTGGTCCGACCATCGCTCACACATACCCACGCACGCTCCCACGCCCACAGACGTGACGGAGGCTTCGAGGTGCTGTCAACCACCTTCTCACGCGTGACATCCATGGTGTCAAGCAACTCACAGTCCACAGACATGCCCGTGGGCGTATGCCAGGATCTGATCCTGTTCTACGCGGCGTCGGCCGAGTTTGACGACTGTCGAACGGAGATCAAGAAGTACAAGCATGTGGTCAACGATGTGGTGCGATGCTTGTTCTGCGCCAATTGCCCTCATTTGGTCCGGTAAGTAGCACGTTTGAATCGTTGATCGGGATGGTAGTTTGGGTTTGCCTGTGTCGTTGCATCGTGATTTTGGTCGTATCGTTGTATCTTTGCGTCCTAGCATCGGGATGTGACATCGTATTCTGGTCAATGCAGATCCGACGGACGTAGAAGCACTTCTTTACATGGTGTAATAAGGTCCTTATTTGGCACTGAGTGTTTCTGTCTGTTCGATCATATGGCTTGCAGTGTGCGTGACTATATCAATGGCATGCTTGATACGATTGTGCCATCTTAGCCTGTATTTTGCTGTAGTGAAATACACCTGGACTACCCGCGTATACAACCGTCGGAATAAGTCACCTTCTCACCCCCTCCCTTCAAAATTAAAAAATTAAAAAATCAATCAATAAACAATTGGATACCCGCAGAGTAGTCAGAGGACATACATAGGAATCTGCAACCCAAATTTGTCATTCTCATGCATCCACATCTTACATTACTCTGCATGAGCATACCATGATGTATTAACTAGTGCGCACAATATGGGTTCTCAGGGTTTAGTTTGAAGCCCCTCTCCCTTTCCTAAAAGGCATAAAACTCCGCCTTAATGCGTGAACGTTGTCCATCGCATGTCAGCCGTCGACTAGTCTCCGCCTCTTGCAAAGTTACGCGTAATCTCGCACCAACTGTGTATCTTCAGCATATTTTCCCACCAGCTGTCAAATTCAAGCGTGCTTTATCGACATCTGCAGAACCCAAACATATGTTCTCATCATCTTTCTCTTTCCCACCACTCCGCAGGGCCTCCTTGCAGTGCATAGCCAGCTTCGGCACAGACGCAACGCTTCAAAATCTACTACTAGACGCGGGCGTGCTCTTTTACCTTCTCGCACTCATCTTCGAGTACGATGTCACGCTCACCGCCAACCCCCACGACACGCTTACGCTGGACAGCGACGCTACCAAAGAGAACAACAATGAGACTGAAGTCGTCGAGGTGGCTGACTCTGATGAGGTGGATGTGGTCAAGGCGGAGGCCCAAGAGCAGGGTACGGTGTACTGCATGTGCTTGTTGCTTGTGCATGTGAATGTATTCGTATGTCACACGAATATCACGTAGTTTCATAGTTTGTGCGTGCGCGATGTTTCATTTTGATTCAGAGTGTGCGCGTGAGACATTATTAAGTTTCTACACGACTACCATATAGGTTTATAGTTTGTGCGGAGATGTAGGATATTCGTGTGCGCCTGTGGTTCTCCAATGCTTCATTTATATGGTGGATACTGATGCGGCCATGATTGATCTCAACCGCGAGTTTGAAGCGTTTGACGGCTGCTCATGACGTGCTATTCGGGACACGATACACATCGTTGAATACGGTTATATTGACGTGTGTGGGAACTTCCGAGGAGGTGTCTGAATATTATGCTGCGATCACACACACACTCAACATATCTGAAGCTCACCCTCTCACACACACACCTCTATACACGCCCACAGCCGATGAGAAGACCCAGAATGCCGCGCTCACAGGCCAGGCCATGATCAACGAGCACGCACGCTTAGCAGTCATCGCTCTAGCGCACCTCGGTGGTTACCACGAACAAAAGAGCCCCACAAAGACCCCCTCCACACACCCCCAAGACGAAGCAACCAACCATGTGCTGAGGAAATGTCTGCGGGCTCTACTGACCAATGACTTGTGCAGTAAGCTGGCCGATCCCGATCCCACGGTGTTGCTGCGCGCCGCGAACATCAACGAGAACTCGCCTTATCTGATATGGAATAACGGCACACGTGGAGGTATGAGGAAACGTTTAGTACATCGGAAGCTGAAAGACCGCATGTTTTGTGTGTTGTGATGAATTGCCAATTGTGATGAGATCGTCAAGGTCGTCAGTGTCTGAGCAGAACCTCTATTGCAATTAAATACATGTTACAACATTCAATTACTCTGTGAATGTACAAGATGGACGTGAAATTTTAGAATGACGTGTGATTTAGCAATACGGTGTGTGGCGGAAACCACAGTACATGCTCGAAACAAATAGCATATTATTTATTATAGCATATTGGGGGTGTATTTGGTTCTTTCTGCTCTCGCCCTGAACAGACCCCACACGTCTGTATTTCATATCAAACGGACTTTATAAGGATAAAGGATTCATATGTATTGACAGATATCCTTCATCTGCACTCTGTTTTTCTTTGTACAGAATTGGTGAGCTATCTGGAAGAACAGAAGGAGAAGATGCGCAGCGGCGAGCAGGACCCGTCGTTGGGAGCTGATTTTGAGTTCTCTCAGCTCAAAGATCACTTGCGCGTGGGCGACATATACGTGGACATCTACAACCAGACATCCGATTTCCCCGGTATGAGCCATATCTGGTGGGGGGGTTTTTTCTTGGGGTTTACTTCTTAGTCACTGTTGGTTGGTAGTTTGTTAGATATACTAGAAAGCACGCTGTAGTTTATGAACGGGCGATAGCTCTGTAGATAAATACAGGGTTTAGGGTTTAGTATGTATGTATGTATATATGTATGTATGCATGTATATATGTATGTAGGTATGTATGTTTGTATGTATGTATGTATGTATGTATGT